AGCAAAGTGAATAAAGTTGTTGACATGTAGTTTAAGTCCATATGGGAATACATAGAACTTGGAGCATATTGTTTTAGTTAGCTGCTTTGGCATAGTTTTGTTTGTTAGAGCTTTATTCTTGAACCTATAACTAATTCATTTGTTTCATGATTGTAAATAGTGGTAGCTTGTGGACTGGGTAAAGTATCGATTGATGGATGAACTGTTAAAACGACTTCTCTCCCATTTAATATCATCGAAATCCATATTCAAAAAAGTGCTCAATACAGAGTGAAGTCTTTCACTACAACTGGAACGAAATGTGGTCATTAAAGTTAAATTAAATATCTCCTCGTAATCATGTATCATAAATTTTGTTCAAAGTCTCCTTTTCTATTAATTATTCTATGTATAATCAATCAAAATAAATTATAACTCCGTACAATAAAATAAAAATATATCCATCTTACAATACTCATTTACTTCTTATATCAACACCAAGAAAAAACCTGGGTCACACCACACACACCGCACTTGGTGTCCCTTCGCTAGTAGGTTATCATAAATTTTCTGAACCTAAAATGGGCCAGAAGAGAACACCTTTTCTTTTACTCTCTTCTTGGAGGCTTAGGGACTCTTCTTCGATGCTTGAATACAATGGCTGAATGTTTTCATCTTATACATATATTGGGCCGAAAACCATTACTAACCTGAAAATTATGGAACACAATTACATTACTACATATTGCAAAAAACAACACAATGTTACATATACAAGCACAATTGCCAAACCAAAGAATTCAATAAAAGATGCTCTAATAGCGAAACGGAAGAGGTGAAATGGAACTACTTCATTGAAGTGAGGCCAGAACCTTCCGCTGTGACAAAATCCAGCAAATCAACTAAACCTGTAACATAAAGTGAAAGTCAACAACCGAATGATAGTGAAACCGTCATCCCATAAGGGAAGCGAAAACCCCAGAATAATGAGACATAATATGAGTATTGCCTCTAGAAAAAGGAATCAACTGCCAATATGATGCACAACTTTGCTGAACCTGTCATCCCATCAATAAGCCTGCAACTGATTTGGCAAACTAATTACTCCCCCTAGAAAAATAGTCCAGTTTGAAAATGTACAACTTTTTTAATTTGGTCAATACACTAAATATACAACTCATCTTATGCCCCTAACTTCCACTAATGTCCCTTCTAATTATTTCTATAAAAGTTAACTACGTATGCATTTATATCACAACTTAAATTTGATCAAAAATTTTATCTCAAAAAATATTGACAATGGATCTTGATGGAAAGATCTCGTTACGTAGATTAATTTGATATATATAACATTTTTTAATTATTCATGTATTAAAAGATATAATCATTTAAAAAAATAGAAGAAAACTAAAAAAATTAAAATCAAAATAAATGAATCTTGTTTTCCTTACCACTGCAATTATGGATATTTAAGTCATTTCAATTCAATTAATTTTGGCTTTTGTGAAATTGAACTATTTTTTTAAGACAAATTTTTTTATTAAACTGGACTATTTTTGTGTGGCGGAGGGAGTACTGGCCTTCAAGGAACTCAGTATCACATTAACACTCTGAGAAGTTCTCAATTGCCAACTTTTCACAGCATTAAGAACAACTAGATGATTTGCTCGGGCGCCCCTCTACTTTAATTTTGTGTTAATAGATAAATGAATTTTTAATTTAGAAAAGATAAAATAGCTACACATTTGTTTTTTTTTTCCCATCTAAAATAAAATAGCTACACATTTGGTTTTTTTTTTCCCATTTTTAGTCAAAAATAAAAATAAAAATAAAAAAATCATTCGCCAAATGAGAAAAAATATTGAAAAGTACAACGATATAGAAATCATACAAAAGAATGTGGAATAATAAAGGGGATAAGTTTATGGACAAATTTAAATGCTATTTTAATTTGATTGATAAATGACAAATGTTAGGAGTTAAAATTATGTAGCTTTGTAAAGTAGCTTTTGTTTCTCCAGATAAGAATTTTTTTTTTCTTTTAAAAAAGGATGAGAGGCTGTATCCAGTATACCCGGGGGCACCGTGCCCCCCTCCTATTTTTTGCACGAGTAGTCCTTATTGTATTTTTCATCAATCTTTCTATATTTTACAAGTATAGTCCCTGTCATTTTTTCTCTCTCTTCCAAAAAAAAAACATCTCTAATCTTTCAATGACAATATCTCATAATCCGTAAAGAATTAGAGAACGTGTTATGCATGAAAATTATAGTACTCGTCGAGATCTATTCAACAAGATCCATTTCGAATATTTTTTTGAGTTTAAAAATGATCAAATTTCTTTGGGCAGAATAAGTTAGATATCCAGTAAGTTGGATAACCAGTGTGCACGAGTTGGATAACCAGTATGAACAAAGTGGATAACTAGTTCAAACAATTTAGATAACCATGTAAATCCATTGGATAACCAGCATTAGCGCATTGGATAATCCAATACAAACCAATGATTGGATAACCAATACAAACGAGTTGGATAACCAACTTAGTTTATTATTTTTTAAAAAAATAATAAAAACAAAAACCAGGTTGGATAAATAATACTAATTAGTTGGATAATCTGTCCATCAGAATTAAGTCATTTTTAAGCCTGAAAAAATGTTCACTGTAGATTTCGTTGGATAGATCTCAACGAGTACTATCAATTTCATATATAATTCGTTCACAAATTCTTCACGGATTGGGAGATATGCTCGTTGAAATATTAGAGTTGGATATGCATACAAACCAAATGGATGGATATCCAGTACAAATAAGTTGGATAACCAACATGAACACAGTGGATAACCAGTTTAAAAATATGGATAACTATTTTACATTCGTATTATTCTTTTCCTTGTATCTTTTGATCCGTAAAGAATTATAACACGAATTATATATGAAATTTATAGTAATCGACGAGATCTATCCGATAAGATCCATGTTGAATATATTTTTTTGAACTTTAAATGTATTTAAATTTTACGGGCAGAAAATGAAGAAATGTGTTTTTCGTTTTTCTTTGAAAAATGGTTATCCAATCGGTTTGGACTGATTATCCATTATGTTCGTACTTGTTATCCAATCATATGTTTGACGTTCACTCTTCAAAAAAAAAAAAAAGATGGATATCCACCTCTATTCTATTCTGCCCGTCAGAATTAAGTCATTTTTAGCCCGAAAAAATGTTCACTGTGAATTTCGTTGGGTAGATCTCGACGAGTACTATAAATTTCATATATAATTTGTTCACAAATTCTTCACGGATTGGGAGATATACTCGTTGAAAGATTAGAGTTGGATATGCATACAAACCAAATGGATGGATATCCAGTACAAATAAGTTGGATAACCAGCATGAACACAGTGGATAACCAGTTTAAAAAGATGGAGAACCAACTTATTTTACATACATATCGTTGTGTTCCTTGTATCTTTTGATTCGTAAAGAATTATAACACGAATTATATATGAAATTTATAGTGCTCGACGAGATCTATTCGATAAGATCAATGTTGAATATTTTCTGAACTTTAAATGCATTTAAATTTTACCGGCAGAAATGAAGAAATGCTTTTTTTGTTTTTCTTTGAAAAATGGTTATCCGTTGTGTTCATGCTGTTGTTATCCAATCATATGTTTGACATTCACTCTTCAAAAAAAAAATGGATAACCACCTCTATTCTGCCCGTCAGAATTAAGTCATTTTTAAGCCCGAAAAAATGTTCACTGTGGATTTCGTTGGATAGATCTCGACGACTACTATAAATTTCATATATAATTCGTTCACAAATTCTTCACGGATTGAGAGATATGCTCATTGAAAGATTAGAGTTGGATATGCATACAAACAAAATGGATGGATATCCAGTACAAACAAGTTGGATAATCAGCATGAACACAGTGGATAACCAGTACAAATAATTTGGATAAACATGTAAATCTATTGGATAACCAATATTAACGCATTGGATAATCAATATGAACACATTGGATATCCAGTTTAAGAAGATAGATAACCAACTTATTTTGAATTAAGAAGTTGGATAACCAAATGGATAAGCAGTAGAAACAAAATGGATAACCACTTCAAACCGATTGAATAATCAGCATGAACACAATGGATAACCAATTTAGAACAAGTTGGTTATCCATCTTGTAAAACTGGATATCCACCCCTATTCTGTCCATCAGAATTAAGTCATTTTTTAGCTCGAAAAAATATTCACTATGGATTTTGTTGGATAGATCTCGACGAGTACTATAAATTTCATATATAATTCGTTCACAAATTTTTCACGGATTGGGAGATATGCTCGTTTAAATATTAGGGATGTTTTTTTTGGAAGAGAGAAAAAAAAACTCACAGAGACTAAACGTGTAAAATATAGAAAGATTGAAAAAAAAGTACAATAAGGACTAAAAATGTAAAAAATAGGAGGGGGGCACGGTGCCCCCGGATATACTGGATAATTTGCCAGGGATGACACGTGGCAGAATAGTTAATGCAATATGGTGCATTTGGAATCAAAAACTTTTAATAAGAAGTTGACACATCAACATCTTGTATTCTGCTTTAAGAAGGTAAAAGGGATTAAACAGGAAAAATTAGTTCGATGATGGGAATTCTGTGGAAGTGCAATGACCTTTTTCACCTTTCACTCTGAAAAACATAAGGCTAATCCAAAGATGCATATTTAAAACTTCAGTTATCTCTTACAGAGAAGGAAAAAATTTTGCGACTAAAATTGGGACTTTTTACAGTAGCTCTTCAAAACGTGCAACGACATTTTTCCATTTATTCTCCCATACACAAAGCCTACATCTCTTTGGTGTCTGCCAAATCCACCAGCACCAGTTAAATAAACTAGTAACGTAAAACAAGAGAGCCGATCATCAAGTCCAAACTTTGCCATTCCAAAGGGCATTCAATGTGTAAGAAAAATTAAGCGAGTCACCTTAACACCAAGATTGAAAGGAGAGTTTCACTTTGTGTCATTCTCCTTCTTCATAGGGTCAGAGCTTTCAGTTGGAAGATTCCGTCTGTATTGAGAGTATGTCAACCTCCTCTCTAATGGGGTCTTCCTTTTGCTGACCACAAACCTGTTTACCCCCTTCCTCATTGGCATTATTGAGGGGAAGTCTTCATCAGGAATCTGGCTTAGCTCAGAAATGTCTTTTATCTGAGCAACTCGTCGAAACCACCGCTCAGCTTTTGCTTCCTCTGACATGTCCAAGGAGTTTGGTTCCTTCACTTCAGATCCCTCTAAGCTCATTGCTGTCCTACCTGAGATAGTATTCCGATTTTCCAATTGTTGGTAGTCTCCAGTAGAATTCATTGATTGGGATACATTTTCTTTACCAGAATGACCACTAGTCCTGAAGCCACTTCTGCTACTATAGGAAGAATGGGAACTTTGACTACTCCTACCATCCAGATCCACATCCTGAAGCCTCGAGATATTCGAACTCTTGTCTTCTGAACCTCTTACTTGGCTCTCGGTTTGTTGCATAGCATTTTTCTCACTGACGCTTGCCGAAGTTTCAGATGAAGATTGACTAGAAGAGTTTTTGTCTACTGATACAGAGGTATCATTCCTTGCAAAAAACCCGGGAGGAAATGGAACAAATGGAACAAAATTTGAACTACTTTCCTGCCCGGAGGCGGCATGTCTCTTGTATGCTGGAGATGCTAATGAACGATCTTTCTTTTTACTGACGACAAAGCGATTTTCTCCTTTTCGCATTGGCATAATCTCTGGAAACTCTTCATCTGAAATTGCACTTGGCAAGTCCTTAACATTGTGCAGCTCTGCGACCCTTTGAAACCACTTTTTAGACACTTCAGTTTGATTATTCTCCATATTTTGGCTGTCACTTTCAGATTGTCTGAAGAAATCTGTACTTTGAGCTGTTTTTTCACTGTGTGAAACACTTTGTGGAACCCCATATCCCCGCAAGCTTTTTTGACTTTGATCCTCGACTTGCCTCTGCTCCAAGTCATTTTCTAAAACCCTCGATGGTGCACTTTCTGAAAAGGCTGTACTTCTCAAATTGGGTTTGACAGATGCCAACTGTGCCGTGGAGCGTACATTATTAACAATACCTACTCCCGGTTTTTCGCAGTCACATCTCAAGCATACCAAATTCCTTTCATAATTATAGAAGTTGCATCTAGGAGGGAAAAAAGCATATATTACTTCTCTATAGTTAATTTTTTTTAAAAAAAAAAAAAAGAAGAAGAGAACATTTTATCGTTATCTAGCTGATTCAGAAAAATGCTCACTGAGGACATTGCCACTCCTGGCCAGTTAATTGTTTCTGTGGCCTAGATTCCTCACATTCTAGGCATTTCAAGTTTCTTGCGAAGTTCATGAAATTGCACCTGTTCAACAGAGTAAGAAAAAGTAGAGAATCATTGAATATAGAAACATTTCCAGATTGGAACTACATTCTGCAATAGTGCACATATCCATCTCAAATCTCCCAGAAAGACACTAAAATGTTAGTACACCTAAAGCTTACACAAAAACTAGATCATAACTAAAGCACAGTAACGAGCCTCTACTATACACCCAATTCATTCTCAAATAACAACAATTACTACTGCAACAAGGACACCACGGAAAGAGAGGTACCAAATGAGCTGAAAATCATAAAGTAATTACTTAATTTCAAATGGAATTAACATATATTAAGTGCAAAAAAATAAAATTATTATTTTCTCTTTTGATCATTCTCTATTATGATGAAGCTTGAGATAATTGAACCCCTAATCCAATAAAACAAGCAGCCTGGTGCCTAGGAACTCGCACACGGGATCTCAAAATGGTCGGCTTAAGACCTACCATTAGTTGCCGAGACTTATTTTCTACAAGAGGATGCTAGGCAACAACGGCGCAACCTCATCATCCAGTAATGAACAAAAAATTGAAAAGGAAACATCTTACTTTTCAAGCCACAAAGCTATAACACCAGCGAACAGGAATAGAGGTTCACAAATGATTTCACTGTAAACAACTTCTAACTCCTAAAGTAAGCATGACAAATATTCATCTGGCTAACAGACACTGAAGACAGCAGAAGATCAATAAGGAAAAGGAGAAAAAGAGGATCAAGTGCTAAAAGTAGACATGCTTACTTTTGACAAATCCAGTCACCCCTCTTCATTTCAACATTCTGTCTCAGAGGCCAGGATTTTTGTTCATAACCGCCATTAAACGTATTTTCTGAAGCAGGAGGTTTCTGCACAGGATCTCCAAAACTTGCTTCAGTCATCTGGCGTAAAAGACTTCTTGCAGATGATTCCACTAGTTCTTTGCTGTAGAGGCTACTCTCAGCTGAAGTAGAGGGATTGCAGGCATAACTCAGTATGTACTTCATAATATCAGCAAATGTTACATTGTTCTGGCCCAACACCTGATGTTTGAAATGCATGTAGTATGTATAATGTCAGCCAAGTTTGCATATAAAAGTAATAAAACCACTAACTTTAGTAACCTGGTAGTACTTGCAACCCAACTTGATAGACATGTCTCGATACGCAAGAAACCATACCATTTTGAATATGTTTGAACTAAGTGAAAGTATTCTAGAGTATTTTTCATAATGAGAGCCTAGAAGTGAAAAATGAAAATGAAATTCACGTGACTTTATCAAGGAAACTATATAATAAATTCCATAACTTAAAGCACAGCAGTAGCTGGTAATGAGAAACACCACTCTCTGAGCAGGATCTAGCATGACGTGAACTTTGATTTGAAAATCTTCAAAAAGGAAGATGGAAGAAATAAATGTTATGGCGAGCACTTCAAACAAAACCTTTCTCATAATCCTTTAACTTTTGGCGCCGCTCAAATATAACATGCTATTTGCATTGTGATTCAATCTTAGGGCAAGTGTTCGATTCACTTTTTCCCAGTGCAGTGCCTGACCCACTATGAACGATTAACAAGGAAGTAAAACCGACAGTTCATTCTAGTATACAATATGTTGGCCGATTACATGCTGCATCAACAAAGACCATGCTCATTACGCCAATAGCGTCTACATACTTTAATCAATGATCTCGTTTAATTTTTGATACGGCAGTAATGTCTAAAAACTCAATGAAAAACAACTCACATTGCCTCCCTCCATGCCCAAATACACTCGCAATCTCCTGGCAACATCAAGAGCAGATTTGAATAGAAACGGTGTCCCGTTTGCTACAATCACTTCCATATCTTTTCTTGACAGAATACTGAAAGTACAATTCCGATAACCAATCAATTTCGTACAAACTTAAAAACAAATTGCACTAAAAGTTTCCTACTGTCCATATTTCAAGGAGAGGGAAAAAAAAAGAAGAAGAAAAGAAGCACTAAAATAATAAGAAAATAAAACAGAAAGGAAACTTGTGAACAAGCAAACCTGAGAAGCTCCGGCCGGGACCTAGAAAAAGCTAGGCAAACAGAGGCATGGTGAATGAATTCATCAGATAATTTCTTTTCCTCGTAGACTACAAATGCATCCTCAGGAAAGATCTCAGGGCCGTGATTCACAGGAGGTCGATTCCAGTGTGAGGAAAGAAGGGTGTCAACTAGTTGGGACCATTCCGGCCAGGGGTGGATGATAGGAGTGGGAATATCAGGAAAATTAGCGGTTTCACGGTCTGAATTAATGGCTTGGGCGTGTAGTTCTTTGCGGAAGGAATCAGTTCTGGTAAGGAAAACAGAGCCAGAACGGTGGGAATTAGCTGGGTGACGAGAGAGACTAAGATGACGAGTTGAGGTGGTGGTGGAGATGCGCCGGGCGATGAATCGCCGGAAAATGATGGAGGTAGGTCGGTGGAGAGCCGGTTGGAAGGGAGCTGTGAGGAGCGATATGAACCTGAACGCGCCGCCCATTACGGCGGGGGAGCGGCTGAAAGGTTTCAGTAACAGAGAGTGTGTCAGCGGTTTTAGAATAGCGCGCACAACCGGAGAAAATGCTAAAAAGTAAAAACCCATAAACCCCTCCTCAAATATTATCCAGTGGTAATGGTGGGGGATAGAAACATGGGTCCAGCTAGACTAAAATCCAAAACTGAATTGCTTTTGGCTAAAGTTAGATTAAGAGGGTGCTTGGATTGAGGGTTTGAATCCAAGGATATGCCTTTCATTCCAAATTATGTTGCTTGGTTGGTGAGGAATGATTCCAGTACAGTAGTTTAATTTGAGGAGACATTTTCAACGTGGACAATATAGATAATTCATAAAAAAAAAAAAAAACTAATTTTAACTTACTTTCATTAATGTTTTAAAATTAGTTATTAATAGATCTTGGAGTAATATCCCAACTTTCTTCGGCTGGTCTATGCCGATCATACAGTTCAGATTTATGTGTAGTACATTTTCAACATTCGTGGATTTCAAAGTCTCCTACTTCATAGTAAATTTTTACTCATGCCCATACGAAAAATCATGTAATACTTGGAAGTATTGATAGTTGGCGACTCCAACAAAGATTGGGAAAGTACATTTTCACTAGTTTGAAACTAATTTTTCAATGAATTAATACAGACACTGTGATCACTGGCTAATACTATTTGAACAACCTTGTAATTGTATACTTGCAGTATTGCGGCAACAGTATACGTAACTACTACATAAGAGGGTGGCATAGTTCCATTGCCACACTGAAAAATCTACAAGGTTCATTAATTCATTACAAGAATCAAATACAACAAAACTACAAAAGAAGTTGCACAGGGTGCAAATTCTCTCATCATGCACGATTCTGAAGTAAAGGAGTTCTAAGATAACCACATTCACGTTTCGTCATAGCTTCAATGTGACAATAACACATTTCAGTCGTCAAGGTATCATTAGAAAAGCCCTTACTTTTGAGGTGCAGCCGGAGCATCAACAGTGACCTTTGCCATGACATTCCAAACACATAATGTTGCCAGTACCACCACAACCTACACTTTGCCAAGATATTAACTAACCATCAGAGAATTTCATTCAACAATAATAGGGGAATTATCTACTGGAAGAAAAATAAATGTGAACCCATGGAGAGGCTGATCTCTCATCCACACAAGAAAAGACAGTTAAATTTCCTTAGTGTCTGCTGCTTAGACGTTTGTGCCATACAACGTTAAGTTCGTTTTTCAAAAAGAAATTTCAATTGATATTTATCATTAGTTACAAGTATTTTACTTCTGTTATTTATTGTGATGTTAGCACTTCAAATGACATGCCACCTTGCAGAAATTAAAAATCTCAGATATATTGAAAGCAAATCTTTGTACATCAGTTGGATGAATACTTCCACATGCATATGTAGCCAGTCTATGGGGGAAATGAATCGATAACCAACCAAAAGTGAAGCTATTAGAAAGTTACCTAGGCATCTAACTTTGACAATTATTCCCTGACTCTCCAGTATAGAGTCGACATACAGACCAGACCCCCCGCAAGTAGCACAAAGGACAGCACCTTTGGCTTCACACTCTGTGCATCTGGGATTATCTCCAATATCTTTCTCAGCGATTGATAATCCAACGGGCTTTTCAATTATTTCCTCTGGTATAGATTTGTCATAACAGAAAAGCGATTCCAAACTACTTCTTTTATTCACATCACCCTGTGAACTTGACACAAGCTGGTACAACACAAGAAGTATTATTAGGTTTCATTGTAAAATAGAGCCTGTATTTAGTTCTTATATAAAAATGATGTGAAAACAGTACTATATCACTCAAAACAACAACCTAGTAAACAGAGGATGCATTCAGGTCCTGGTAAACTCACTGAAGTTAACAAATTGACCTAATATGAAGGGACGAACCAACAATAACACTAAATGTTATATATTTATGAGTAACTATGCAAGTAACCACAAACGTGCGCAATGAATTTATAGCAATGCTATTACTCATGGAAAAATGGAAACAGGAACAAAATTAGCTTGCTTTTTATGAGACTAGAAAATGACATTTCCTCGAAAATATTCTGTTGTAGTACCACACTTGGACGTAATTGACCAAGTATTATCCTGTAAGGCTTATGAATGTACAATCATTAGTGCTGAGTGAAACAACAATTGAAACCAAACCTTCACCCACAATTTGAGGTCGATCATATGGACTGTATATAGCCATTGTGCTACTTCCAAACACAAACTTTAATTTAAAAAAAACCACAAGTGTCTTTGGGGCCCTAACAGTTCCCTATGTTAGGAAATATGACAAAGCTTTCAATTGACCAATGCTACTCATTATTCATCCCTTGTTTCCTTTCAACGTAGAGATAGAGCCCACATCCTTTCCAAGTTATCCACTTTCAGATTCATAGTTGATTTATGGATATTAAAACCTTATTAACTGAAATCCAACTACAAACAATATAAAGAAAACGACACCCCGTCGAGAAGAAACACAAACAGAGGAACTATATAATTCCGAACAACGATGCAGATAGTCAATCAGTATTTGTTAGACTTCATTAAGCAGAAATAGTTAAACCCAAAAGGAACAGGAAAGCGTGAAAAGGTTAAAAAGAAGAGAAGAAACGAGAAAAATAGAATATTTGTCCATTCAGAATGAAATGGGATGTAACTGCATGCAATGAACATTGACAGAGGCATTGGTAATGCAAACTTGTAAACAAGAGATATTTATTTTGTCAACTTCGGAAATATACCTTGATACAAGCTCAAACAAAAGGGCCCAATACATATACTCTATTTTCCAAAATGAGGTCTAAAAAGGTGCAGCCTCTATCATTCCTAGCGGAAAAACCCTACCCAAAACTCCAATATATTCACTGCATATGAAGCAGTTCCCATATGTTTGGCGATTGTGCCAACATCAGTTCCTAATCCATATACACTCCTTTTTGCGTCTAAAATAACTCAGACCCTTTTAAATGCGCCTATCGGACTCGTAACCCTCATCCATGAAAATTCATTTTCTCTACTAATCATAATGTCCCATCTAAAACCATGCCTCATGAACTGTCCAGATTATTTGAAATTTATAGCAAAAAAAAGATTATTTTCAAAGTTCAAGAGCATTCATGAATCCCTTGAGGCTCTTCTAAAATTAGAGAGGTCATAGAATACCAAGTTTCTGTCCATATTGCCACTTGAATTTCTCAGGGGTGCATTCTTGTTTGCAGAAAAATCAACCTTCCGCAAAACAGGCTCCCACCCCACAAAAGTCTTACATGGTAATTACAAATAGTTGTGGCAAGTTGAATGCTTACAAAGACAGAAAATGCCAAAGACACCTACGCCACAAAATGGCAAGGGCTCAGTAACTTCTCAGGTCTGATACCCATTCTAATATTCCTAAATTTAAAACAAAATATGGATATATGCATTTACCTTTAAAACATACCTCACTGCCTGTATCTTGAGCACCATTAAACTCCATAAACTATTAACTTGGATAATGAAGAACTACGACATATAGCAGGTACATAGCGCACTAAGCCTAAGCGCAAATATTTATAGAGTACAAAGAAATCAATGGGAGAAAGTAATCCAGAATTTCCACAAAGTAATAAAAACTAAGAGGATGTACAGAAGGGTTAGTTTTCAAGTAAAGATTTGCAAAAATTTCCATGAAGACAGCTCGTGTGGACACATGCGACAGAATAGCACAATCCAGAGCTCTTCTTATGACACCCCATTGAACATACCAACGCTTAAATCTTCAAAACCTACTGTCTCGGTCAAAAGATCATTCTTTGACAAATGGTTTCTCTCCAAAAGATTGCAGTATACTTATTTCATGAAACCCCCTATCCATTGTTTGTAAAAGCTTTTACCAGAGAAACTTATAATCAAGACACTCAGTATAAGGTGAAACCCATTTCAAATTTCATACAATAACTACACCTTTACCCGATGAGCTTACATCATAAGTCAGCCAGAACACAGATCATTATTTCAATTCAAATAAGGCATGACTTTTATAACAGTATCCTCCCAATTCTATTTTCCTATCCTATTAGTTTTATTAAGAATTCGGTTTTTCCAACATAAATAAAACGGATAGAATGGATGATTAATACAATGGGCAATTATTAATAAACTAAAACAAACTACAAATAATATCAAGAATATGCAATTCAACAGAAAAACTAAGCCAAGCTGAAAGTCCCAAAGCTCAAATGAAAAAAAGAACACACAAAATAGGGAAAACCGCAGCATATTTTCAAAATAACAGGTTGAGAAATATCAATTCCAATCAAAAAAATTCCACCGCCATATAAGCCAAAACAAAGTTACCTTAGGTGAGAAAGAGCAGGAAACGCTAGAATTTGGATGGGTGGTAAAGACACGTCTGGAACCATATAATGAAACATTCTGCTGCGAATTATGGCCACGATTGTTGATTAATAACGAACATCTTGGCGAATTAACTGATAACGAATTCAGAGAGCACTCCATTGATGAAGCTTCCACTGTTCCTTGGAAATGCAGGATGAGGAAAACCAAATGATCGATCTCTTTATATATATAATTTTTTTTTCGGGTTTTTAAATGGTTTTTCTCTAATTTTTCGTTTCGATGATTTCCACGAATGCTGATAAGAATGCTAGTCCATTTTCTCTCGGTCGTGACGAAATAAAATTAGAGACTAGAGAGGTAAAAGTATTTTCACCTTTGACTGCGAGGTAAATTTTTGAGGGAAGGTTAAATAACATGGTAAAAGCGTCTCATAAACCCCAAAGTTTTGGCATCACTAAAACCCCCTTTTCTAACTCTTACACATTTGAAGCAGCTCTTCAATTCAACAACAATGGCGAATCGACGCTGTTTTCAAACCCTAGTTACCCGTTACCTCCCCCATATTTCTTCTCATCCTCAGACAGCATTTCTTCATCCCATTTCCAGGTTAGTGCGTACTCAATTCGATGGAATCCCCAATCTAAACCCGAGTGAAACCTCCATTTCAATTCCCTCCAAATTTCCATCCACGTTTTCGTCGTTCTCTCGCCACTTCTGCTCTAATTATCGGGGTAATGATGGTGAAGAAAAAGAAGAAGAAGACGACGATGACGACGATGATGATTACGAAGGAAGTGATGTTGCGGATAATGAGATTGAGGATGAAGAAAGGGGAAATGTGAGTGGCAAATCCGACGAACAGAAGGCTCAGGAGGCTGAGGAGATTGGATATAAAGTATTAGGACCGCTTCAGAAATCTGATCGTGTTTTCAAACCCTACGAGCCCGTTTTTGCTGTTATTCAGGTAAAAGAAAAAAAAAACTTTTGAATTTTTGTTTGAGAGTTTAAGGAATAAATGGTTATGGATATCATATTTATGCTTATAATAATGTCAGTGCTATAATTCATGCATTTCTATTAAATTATTGCTTTTGGCGTGATTTGATTTGGACTTTATATTGTTAGAACACTCTGGCCTGGAATTTTGGTATTTTTGGTGATAGAAGTACGTGTATTATATTCATGGTTCTTTAAGTATTTTATCGTCATGTATGTATCAACTGATTATTCTTTGCCCCTCTTTTATCGGCTTAGATTGGATCGCACCAGTTTAAGGTCAGCAATGGGGATAGTATTTTCGTCGAAAAGTTGAAGTATTGTGACGTGAATGATAAGGTGAGTAGATTCAAGACCGTCAACCAGTGATGTGTTGGTAATGTTGGTGAATGTCCCATTTGTTTACATGGATGAGCATTCTGATATTAAACTCTTGTGTCATTTTGTAAAGATCAATTGGTGTGGAATTTTTTTGTTCTTTATTTCTTTCCAATTTCAAGGCTATTCATTCGTTTAGATGTTTGACCTGGATGTGAGTCATTGTATATAAGATTAATGCACAACGATACTGCTTACCTAAATTTCTTGGCTGGAATTATCTGAGGGTAAATTGGTCTTCTGACTCTCATCTGAACTTTAGACGGTTGAAAAGGAAAGAAATTTCACTTCAGTACTGGTGTAAAAACATTTTGAGAACAAATGAACATTTATATTTGAAATAAGAGAAAACATTCTAAACTGAAAGAGGTTGGAGAGTTGCTAATAGGTTGGAATTCTGAATAGTTCTTAGGTTTGCACTGAAGATCTTTAAACATATTCCAAACTCAAATTACCGAAACCATGCAGTACTCTGTTGTCTGTTTGACCTTTTAATTGTTTTTTTTTTTTTTTTTGTACGCAAGCCAATGTATTATCAAAGTATTTTTTAAGAGAAATTTACTGTCCCTCTGAATGTTGGATGATGATTTTCTGCCAGTTATTGTGGCAGCCTGCTGCAGAGAACTAGTGTTTGATTGTGCACGTTTGGTAATTGTTTCTGTCATAACTTTGAATGGAGCAAAATAGCAAGCAAGGTTATCATAAATTCATAATTGTGGTTATTTTTCTCAACAGCTAAGTGGGTCATATTTATGTTGAAAAAGAAAAGATTAATAGTTTCTCTAGTTACCATCGTTTGTTTGATTGAACCATATTCTAGTGGGAGATTAAGTTCTGTTGTCTTCTTTGGGAGACTAATGAGCCTTACGAAGATTCTGCTCATACATTTACCCTATCACATCTCTACAACAACAACAACAACAACATACCCAATATATTCCTAACTCGGTTTTTGGTCTGGCGGTCAAGATGTACGCAGCCTTACCCCTGTATATTAATACAGAGAGGGTGTTTAACTAGTACGACCCAAGATGCATTAGTGCATTGATGTATTGATTTCCGGAAACTTCACCAAAATTAAGAAGCGCCGGAATTTATGGTATTTTTTATGGGCCAGCAGGTTTCTGGAACCCGCTTTTTGGTTTCCACGTGTTTATGTCTTGCAATGATTATGTTGTACATCGATCTTCTTCTAGAATTAGCATTGATACTAATTCTTTGTCTTTTTCAATTTATTGGAACACTTTTGTATACTGGAAAGTTGCTTAATTTGCCAGTTGTGACTCATCTCTACATATTTCCTTTTTACTGGTCCTAATACATGGCCTTCTTATTTAGAACTGTTCGTTTTCTCATTCTTCATTTTCTTGTTTGTAGCTTCTCTCTGTTTTGTTATTTAGATATGCATTTTGATAAAGATACACCCCGATATTCTTTTGGATTAGTTCCGACTTTCATGTTGTGCATGTTGTCTTTGCTTATGGTTTTTGCAGTTAATTTTGAACAAGGTCCTCATGTTAGGCTCGAAGGCTCAGACAATCATCGGTAGGCCAGTAGTGCCTGATGCAGTTGTTCATGCTGTCGTCGAAGAGCATGTAAGACCAACTGTTTTTTGAATTTGGGCTTCTACGTAAATGAAACATAATGTGCTATCAGTCCTGCTGCATACATGACTCTACTGAATATAGCACTACTTTTCAGTTGTCAATATTTTTGTTTTCCAGTAATGGAAAAGAAAAGATGCAATAATAAATCCACTAAACTGGGAGGATACAAAATAGCTGTTCGTCTAATGTATCTCAAGAATTTGTGGGGAAAAGTTTTCCCTGGGGTCAAGCCAGTTTATTAAATAGGTGAATAATTTGTACTAAAGAAGTTTGACTACTTTCTTGTGAAAGTTTTATACATAAATTGCATATATTTCGTAGTTGCACCCTGTTTAGTTCATTTGTACAAGGCCTTCAGATGCCTTAAAGTGCATAGGAAACAGAAGTGCTTTTTATTTAAATTGAAAGGGAGAAGTGGAAAACTGGAAAATACTGGGAAAGAAACTACTAAGCTAGACATATATTTTAATCCTATAGTCCAATGCGGTTTCCACAGGACATGTTTGATGAAATATGATCGCCATGGTTGATCCCACATCATAGGACAAACGCTTGGTTGTTGCTTGGGTAGTCTGTCGTTCATGAATTTATTTATTTCTCACATTGAATATATACATACGAAGGAGGATAGAATGCCCCGACAATTAGCTGACTCTTAGAGCTTGTTTGTTGGCTTCTATCTGTGTTCTTGTTATTTTGGGATATATTTTTCTAGATGCATCTTCTAGCTGATTATGAGGTAAGGCTTTGAAAAATCTATACAAGTATGGTTTTTTTTTTTTTTTTTTTGAGTTATTTGTCTTATAAAATTCTCTAGATGGAGTGAACATTTCTGTGAAATTAAATTGTTGCTTTCACCTGATAACCTGAAATTAAATTATGATAACCTGATAACTGAAAAATTTATAGAGGTGGTTAGTTCATCATTCTCATGGTACTGATTTCTTTAATCTTGTAAATTTGGTCTTCTTGTATAATGTCATCTGTTTACAGACTGAGGCTTCTTCTTTCCATTCTGATGAGAGCAGTTTTATCCCCTAAGCAAATATGCCCCTAAAGCAACATCAAGTTTATCCTTGATGTGGTAATTTTCTGGGAGGGCATAATATGTTATAATGCTTGTGGACCTCAGATATTAGTTTGGTTTTTTAATTTGCTCTTTGATTCTCTTAGTTAACACTTGTGACCATAACAATTACTTTAGATGGTTGCTAGTGTTTGGTGGGATCATAAAGCTTTCTTTCTTCTGCTTATTTTCGCTCCTTATGTTGGTTGGGATTCCTATTTTCAGGCATTAGATGCTAAAGTTCTCATATTTAAGAAGAAGAGGAGGAAGAACTACAGAAGAACAAAAGGTCATAGGCAGGTAAGTTAGATGCTTTGGCCTAGTGGTTAAGTGTCAGGTTTCATTATAGTTAGTCTTTTTTGCCACAATATCATTCTTAAATTCAAGGGGAATACTCATACGATATTTTACCTTCAAGTTTCTTTCTTTGTTTAGGAACTGACAAAGTTGAGGATAACCAATATTCAAGGAATTGACAAAACTGATATAGTACCAGTTATGAATATGGAAGAGAAAGTTAGCTAGAAGGTGCAGAAGACAATGGTTTCCTCTTAATGAAATTTTGGCATGGACCTGCTTAAAGATTCTGTAATGCTAGCATATGTCGACCCTACCTTAAGTTCTCAACCAGCTATTGTAATCTCCTCTTTTTTCACTTGTTATGTTCTGTTGAGAGTCAGCGGAGTTGGGATTGATTGTGAAAAATATTGTTGAAGTAGGAAAGCTGTATTTTATGAAAGAATAAATTAATCTCTATTTTTCGTGGCATTTTGGGGATCTTTATACTCTTTTAAGTAGCTGACTTTATACCCTTTCAAATTACAGAAAAAAAAAATAACGAGCTAAGATATTTCAATGAACTTTAGTTTGCTCTACCTCCAGCATCTTTGGATGCAAAGAGTGGTGTAGCATCTTGAAAAGGAAGTATGCTGCCCGTGACTACTTTTGTTTACGTGAGCTCTCTTCAAAGTTTTTCAGATCACCAATCACAATTTAAATGCTAAAATCTTCTTTGTTCCGATACGGGCGGCTCATAAGTAGGGCAGTTCTTTTACATAAAACCGACCCAAACCGAACTGAATCTGAACCGAACTATTAGTTTAGATTAATTCGGAATTAGGACAACTTTCTTTTGGATTACTATGGTTCGGATCGGATCGGTTCAAGTTAAATTTCGGGTCTGAACCGAATTGACCTGAAAAAAATCATTTTGTATCCGATGATGTCATCAAAATATTACGATGATGTCATCTTGCCGGCGCCGGTCACCGGTCGCCGGAAAAATTGATTTTCGGCAATATTACCGGAATTTTTGGCCGGCAAAATCAATTTGCTTGCGACGTTGCCGGAATTTTTGGCCGGAAGTTGTTGCCGGCGGCGGTCGGTGACGATCAACGGCAGCCGGTGACGGTCAACGTCAGAAACTATTGAAATTTATTATTATTATTTTTTGTTTAATGTAATTCGGTTCAATTTAAATATTTACTTAACTCGAACCGATCTGAATTATTTCACTCTTTCAAATAATTGATTCGAACCGAATCAAACCGAAACTAAATTTTCGGATCGGTTTCGAGTCAGTTCGGTTCGGATCATTGGTTTGACCCGAACCATGGGTCAAAATGACCAGCCCTACTCGTAAGTGACGGGGGAAACTAGTCTATTTGAAAGGTGAGAAATGTATTTAGATTTGGACAGTTTCATATACTTCGAATGAATTATTGGATATGGAAGATGCAGCAAGAAGGACAAGGAATAACTTTAATGAAATGATAGCTACTTAGCAAAAATTAGACTTTTTTGAAGAAGAGTGGGGAACCCTTCCAATAATGTCCAATTGTCCATCAAACAAAATATACGGAAAGCTTCTTTTTCTAAAAGTCGAGAGAGAGAAAATCAACTATCTTGGAAATTTACACTATCAAACATCTTGGTTTTTGAAAATCAACTATCCAGATCATCGTTATGTTTTCTCCCCATCTCACTAATTAGGGATTTACAAAATTTTTTTATCAGTTTGCCGTTTGGGAACCTTGCAATTAAGGATTATGCTCTCTAACTATTTCTCTTTATTAAAATATTAGGAAGTTTCAAATCTGATTTGCTCATATATTGATCCTAATTGGACACAATTTCATTGGTTCATACTTTATACTAGTTTTATGGCCGCACGTTATGGAGTATTTTACCCAAATAATTTTTAATGAAAAGAGCTGGACAAAAATATATGTCTCGGAGTGGTGTGGACAAATCTAGTTGTCTCGGATTTGTCAAATCCGAATCTATCCATTTTGTACTAGCCAAATCCGAATCTCCTTGTATTACAACTATGTGATGAATCAATTCTATTGGGTAGATTCGGATTTGCCAAATCCGAGATAACTAGTTTTGTCCACCAAAAATAGAAAAAAATTATTTTTATCCACATCTTTTTTTGAAAATTTTTTTGGCCAGAGCACCCGCACGTTGTGCCGATTTTTAAGATATTTTAGCATAACATTCAATAATCACTATTTTCCTGTAAAAAGTGTCTTGTGATGTTTTCCTATTTTTTGGTATATTACACACCTTGTATTCAAAATCAAGAGTGTCATATAAATTTTTTTTTTCGTTTTTGGTATATTACGCACTCGAACTTCGACTAATCCAAAATCGAATAGGGTAGGTCTCTATCGGGAGGCAAATCTCCCAATAATCATTACTACATGCCCATAGTTACGTTGGTCCAATATCTTTACCAATTTGACAAAGTGCTCGTTGGTCATATGTGTTTTTTTCTAAATACAAATTAATATCATCAACTATCTAATTTGCTATTTGTTTCGGAATATCAATATATCAAAAAAAATTTAAATAAAAATTAATATGATCAACTGTCTAATTTACTACTTTTTTAGGGATATTAGTATACCAAAGTTATTTTCAACAATAGAAATTTAATTACCATACCTCAAAATCAAAAATTTGAGAAGCAATTCGATTTTTCCAGGTAAAAAAATTGCTTAATTTCTAATATAATCACATATGTTTATGCACCTCTTATAATCACATATGCATAAACATTGAATCCTCTAGGACTCTAAGTTGGTATATATTAGTATATACATATGTTTATGCATGACACAAAATCAAAAACAAATTCCAACAAAAATAAATTAAAGACAATAATAGAAAAAAAAAACCTTTACAAAAAAACTAATAAATCATGCCGAAATACATATTTATATCTTACTCGTCAAATTTTTTTCTTAGTTATAAGTGTTTCTTGAAGTACTCATTTTAGACATTTGCCATCTTGCTATCACACTTTTCCTGTAAAATAAAGCACGTGTTGCTAAACGCAGATTGATTTTACTTCGCACAGCTTATTAAAAAGACTTAAATACCCTTAAATCTTTCTCTTTCCCTCCCTTTTTTATTTCACTTTTTTCTTGTTAAACACATCTTGATTTTTTTTCACACAACTTGTAAAAAATATTAAAATAAACCACAAATCCTTAGTGCTTTGCAAATTAATACATAAATAAATTTTCAAGCATAAATGAATTTAAACTCTTGTTTCAAGTTATTATGAGGCTACAACATGAAAAATCGATGGGTTAATGGTGTTGATTAGGTTATCAAGTTTTGCCATGTCGGTAGTTTTCCCTTTTAGGGTAACATGTATTGTAGGGAGTTTTCCTATTTTTATAAAAAAAAATTTCTCTATAAAATTACTTGTTGAGACGTTCATTCTTCTTTTTTGCTTGTTTTTCATTTTTTCGATTTTCTCCTATTTCAAAATATCAACAATCAATGAATTTTTTACATGTTGAAAAATTTAAGAGAATTGATTTAAAAAAATAAAGAGAGAAAATGATATAAAAGAGTTAACAATAAAGGCTTTACAGTTTAGGGAAATTATGTCTTTTCTATAAGCTCTGCGAAGTAAAATCAATCTGCGTTTAGCAACTCACAAAAATTTATGTCTCAGATAAAGTACTCCCTCTATTCCAAAATTATTGTTCACTTTGAATTTTCACTTTAGTTCGATTTGTACTCCAAAAAAAAAACCCCCAAATTAGACAATAATTTTGGGACGGAGGGAGTATACATTTACCTCCAGACTCTAGAGCGAGCAATTTTATTTTAGTCTATTTAGCTCCTTTGGAGCGAGGTTGATCCATAATTATTTTTTAGCTCAATGCACTGAAATTCTATAATATCATTGGTACAAAAACATACCAAAATCAGTCCCCCATGATTGTTTAAAAATGAAATAGATCATTCACACTCATAAATATTTACCCATGACTACACAAATAATCCTTACAATAGAAAATATAAGGCATGTTTAAAAAATCCCCTCCAGAAAAAAAAATATATATATATATGTTCAGTAAAAGTAAATTTTTCCTTATAATATCAAACCATAAATTGTAAGACAAAATGATGAGTTGACAATTCAAAACAAAAGGAGAAAAAAATCATGTAAATTTACCATTGATTAACCTTGTGTAGTTAATGGTCATTGTTCTCACTGTTAATCACAAATCAGATTAAAGGTCGTTCACAAGTATCTACATTGGAATCAGCCGATGAACCTTTTGTCAACATATTCAAAATTAAGAAATCAAGTAAAATTATAAAATTCACTCTAAATGGGAATTGAATGATAGCCTAGTGATTAGGTTGCTGTCTTTCCTGGTGATAGACCAGGGTTCGATTCCCACTAGGGGTTGTAAAGGAGGGTTTTACCCACATTTAAGTGTGGTCCACTGGGGGAGTTTTTTTTTTTTATAAATAATGAGTAAATCATATTAAAAGTACAACTTGTCATATCAATTGGAACCCATCTAGTCTTTTCGAATAAAAAACGAAAAATATCCATATGAAATCACAATTTAACAAATAAAGAGGGCAGTGTATACCTTTCAAAGGAAAAAGAGATTGAGACGGAAGCAGAGTAGGGAAGGGGAAGGAATGGAGGACGCGAGGGGAAGAATGAGAGGAGAGAATGAGAACGTAATCTCTTTATTATTTTTTGGGGCAAACACAATAACTCTCTCGTTCTGGTTAAAAACCATACGAAAATCCTCTCATGGTTCAAAACCGACATGAGAACCCCCTTATGCTTTTCCTGAAAGTGTAAAATGGATGAGAAAACCTAACAGTAATGGTACAATTTGATTTGCCCATTTCCCCTTATTAAGTAAGACTGATATCGAACACTTCTTACATTTCTCTCATTTTCTTCACGGAGTCTGCTTTATTTTCTCCGATTCACTCTCTTCTCAATAGAAACCCCCCAACAAGCATTGACAGATATGTGTACTATTGTGTTACTAGTTTAGGATATCCGCCCCGTTACCATCCAAGAACATCCAATGCCACCACCAACATCATTATCTTTCTTTTTCCATCGATCTCGATCGGATACCAACAATTGTCGATTTGACTCGATTAATAGGTTCGCATAAAATAGTTGGGTTCCCATTAGGGTTTTGATGAGGGCGAGATTTGAGTTCCACTTTGAGTCTGCAACGGCAATTTTATTGTATTCGGATTTTCTTTAAATCTCATAGGTAGCCGGCGGGATTTTAATTTGACATTTGATGGGATCGGTGACCTAGAGAGAGTTTCCTTACATTTAGGAGTTTCTTTGTGTAGTTATTTTTCCCTTTTTTCTGTTCTTCGTTTTTACAAGTTGAAGAACATGAATTCAAGTTTGGTCGGACTAAGGTTTCTTTTTTGGTCCTTATTATAATTTTAGAGTCTTCCCTTTTCTTTTCTTTTTTCCATTTTCTTTATTATTATTAAAAATATAGTTGTTATTGATGATGGTTTTGGTGACCGGTGGAGAGATGATTTTGTTGAATCTC